TCTATTAGTCAAATTCAATTCTCTTCAGCCAATCATGAATCTCGGTTAGTAAAAATTATCCAATACAAAATTGAGTTAATGCTGCACAGAGAGGGTGTAGAATATGTTAACATAGGCTTTCTCGGCCGGAACTACGATTAAAGACAGCAAAATCCGGGACAGTAAACGGTGGTCGAATGGAACTTGAAATTCCAAACGTTTCGTCTGCTACTGCGGTAGACATCATCAGTGGTGTGTGCGTCGACTGCGAGATATAACTTTAGTTCGCGCAGTAAACGCACACAACATTTGTGTGTGTCTGCCGCAGTAGCAGACGAAACAGCTGGTACTTCAGCTTCCATTCGATTACGGTCTACTCTACTCTGTTTTCTATTAATATTGCTGTAACATTTTGATTTGGAATATTTAGATAATAACAAAAAGGGTGGGCTTATCTAACAAGATATTGGGTTTAAGCAAGAACCATGGTAGGGAGTGCCTTAAATCATGGCGTAATCTGTTGTTTTTTTAATGTTTAGTTGTGACAGCTTTTGCTAACTCAACTTCAAGCTAGCAGGTCTCTCTGATAAATGAAGAGCAAAGAATTCGGGAACAATATAAATTCAGCCGAAATGTTTGTCCTGAAAACAAACAGAAGAATCCAAAGTAGTTCCGCCAGCCAAACAGGGGTCCCAATTTCTCCCCCAACATTCATCAACTCCGGTCCTGTTCATATTTCGCAATAACCGTGCGTAAATAACATAGTATTTCAATGAAAATACGTCAGCAAATTAATTTTCGATCTGATTGACTCGATGACCTCTTTAAATTTCCTGGCATTGACCAGGGAAACCCCTACTAGGAAAATCCGACCGACTGGGACTCCGCGGGAAATTTGGTAAACGAATCAACCCCAAATGGGTTTCTTTGATTCAATTAAAGTATATGTAATTTCCGAATGAGGTATTTAAGAGAATCGCATTATAGAGGATTCATGTGAAACGTGGATGACTTCTATATAAGATCATTTTGTGTGCAGGTAGCTGGAGGAAGTGAGAAATCTAGAAACTTGTCAACAAAAAATATAAATTAATGATTGTTCGAGTCGTAGAAACTACAACACCTCATGTTTATAGTTTTCTGTTTCCGAGCGTTTCTCTATAATATTTGACATTTTTCTCACAGCTTTTATGGTTTTGAAGTTGTTCTTTCTCATTTACTTATAAATGTCTAGAAAACATTTTGAATAAAAAATTGTCTACATGGTATAGGACTCTTCGATAAATGAATATAAAGATTTATGATTTTACTGTTGGAACTACATAATTTTTATGCATATTATACCTGCATATTACGCATTTCATGCAATGGAGAAAAAAACAAATATAAATCATCGAAAATCACTTTATTGTTTTTCAAAATATTCCCCATGAAGATGTATATACTTTTGCATGCGTTTCAACCAATTGTCGAAGCACTTTTGCCACTCTGATTGAGGTATCTCCAAAACATGCATTTAGGAAGTTTAATCTTCCTCTTGAAGATGATCACTTGGTGATCAAAACACGTGTCTAAAAATGACGGTTTGGTATTGGGATAAAACTCCAGTAATATAGATTTTGAATTTACCCAAAACAAGCACCCATAACCTGTTGGTTGTGGTTTGATTCCGAAAATTATTAATAAGAGATTTAAGTCCACTTTCCATTACTCATTCAGAATGTCACTTTCATCGGGGACTGTTATGCTACAAAAATAAAATATAGGGAATAGTCCAATATGAGCTGGTTAACGGGAAACCAGATTTTAAATAGATGAACTTATAGCCCAGTCAAATTAGTTCAAAAAAGAGCCAGTAACGCAAAAATTTCCACTGGCAATTTTCTTCCCGAATTCTTTGGGGAAGGGGCCACTGGCAGTCTAAATTCAAGTTACTGGAGTACTAAACCCGTTACTGCATCCGTCATCTTGAATTTAAGAGTTGATTTTTGTTTACTGAATAACTCATTCATTTTCAATTTTACGGAAAATAGTTATTAGGTACAAAAGTTTGTTTGAAATTAAATTTCCTACAATTTTCGTTCTCATCAATTTTTTCCTAGGATCGATATTTTTCGATTTATAAGCGAAAAGTGGGGGTGAATATTTTTAATTGAACAACTAGTTCATTTTCAATTTTACGAAAAAATTGTTTTGAACAAATTTGTTCAAAATCGAATTTCCTACAATTTTGGTCCTTACCAATATTTTTCTAGGATCAATATTTTTCGATTTATACCCGAGAAAAAGAGGGGGTAAAATCTCATTATTGTATGTCACGTTTATTTTCAATTTAACGAAAAAAATTTTGATCAACGAAGTTGTTCAAAATCGAATTTTCTACAATTTTGGTCCTCGCCAATTTTTTCCTAGGATGTATATTTTTCGATTTATACCCGAGAAAAAGAGGGGGTAAAATCTCATTATTGTATTATCACATTTATTTTCAATTTTACGAAAAAAAATGTGATCAACGAAGTTGTTCAAAATCAAATTTCCTACAATTTTGGTCCTCGCCAATTTTTTCCTAGGACTAAATTTTTCGATTTATACCCGAGAAAAGGAGGGGGTAAAATCTCATTATTGTATTATCACGTTTATTTTCAATTTTACGAAAAAAAATGTAATCAACGAAGTTGTTCAAAATCAAATTTCTTACAATTTTGAACCCCATCAATTTTTTCATAGAATCGATATTTTTCGATTTACACCCGAGAAAAGGAGGGGGTAAAATCTCATTATTGTATTATCACGTTTATTTTCAATTTTACGAAAAAAATTGTAATAAACAAAGTTGTTCAAAACCAAATTTCCTACAATTTTGCTCCTCATCAATTTTTTCGTAGGATTGATATTTTTCGATTTATGCTCCAGAAAACGAGAGTAAAATCTGCAACTGCAAATCCAAATTCAACTGGACAACACAACAACACAACAAATGAAAGTAACCTGCCAAATGCCATTATACGGACAGGTTGTTTAAAATGAATTCTTCGATGGTGTAACAAGTTTTCGAAACAAAATTTTCAATGCCGATTCATTTTGTCTTGAGTCCCTGAAGTACATATTTTGTAGAAACGTTGTTTCAAATAAAAAACACCTGTGAATCTTTTCTTGTTAATTTTTTCAAGTTACCTTGACATAAAAGAGAACATAAATTATATTTTTGCTCAGTTTAGGTGCAAGGTTATGTCAAGGTTTCGTCGCTGTATGTAAATATTGATTTAGTATCTTCATAATCTCAATAAACGAAAAGTAAATACACGTGTATGTATTTCTCTGGGAATTTTTTAATCATGATATTGCGTGTCTGCATAAGTGTATTTGTCCCAAGAAAAAAGTTACTTGAGAATTCAGTAACGTAGTAGAATAGTTGCTTGATGTTGTTGCCGGCCGTTTCCATATACCGAACTCTGTCTACAAAAACACAGAACACAACACCAAAACTTTTTGATCTTTCATAGTTGACAAAATCAATCCCTTGCAACAATATCTTTACACTGTTTCTCATTTTGACAACTCAGTTCTTGGCCTAGATTGGCCATCAGGCCAATCTGAGTATATTCTCCCTAGGCAACAATCGAGTTGCCTCAGCAACAGAAGGGGAAAATTGAGGTTTTGTTATAATAAAAGTCAAACATACACTGAGATGGATTATTATTCATTTTAAAAGTCAATATTATGCTCCAGAACTATGGTCCAGCCCTATCCAGAACTATTGAAACAAAAAAACAACTTGATTATTCAAATTAAACAAATTGAATTATTCTTGGATTTATAATAATAATAATAAATGATTTTATTGAAAGGTTACTCAGTACAAGAGATACTAATCTAACCTAACAAATGGCAGAGTTCAACGTCTGCGCATGATGACGTCTAAATTTAGGCCCAACTTGAAGTTGGCACCAGAAGAATTCATATGTAATGAAATAGCTTCTCCCACATACCAGGACTGGGGTACTTTTTCTCAGGAGATGAATAAAATTGATTCTCTTTGCAAGGTTAAGTTTTATCTACCATCTTTCTGAGAATCAACATCGAATTCGGAAAGAAAGCACTTGTAAAGGTTGTACAATTTGTTAAGGAAATGTGTAGATGAAGGTTCAAATCAAGTCAGAATGTCAGCAACTAAAAAACGTAAGTAAACTCATTTTGGAACGTGTTTCAAATACGTTTATCCCATCAATTGCAAAAGAGGGCTGTTGGAAGACGTTAGACTTTTACAAGAAAAGATACAGTAGCAAATATTGCAGTGGAGAAAATTTCGTCGGATTCTTTGATTGGTTCAATGTAGTTTACAGCACTATGCAGCTCATCATTCACCCAAGCATGTTAATTCTTCCAGTAATATTGATTTTTGTTTAGGTCTATGGGACTAGCAGTTTTCAAAATAAAGAATGAAGGTAAAGTAAGTATTTCACGGGGTATTTTCCACATATAATGGTGATTCACATGAAACTCAACTGAAGTGATTTCGAAGATACAAAGATTTTACATCTTGTAATCTAATGATAAGACCATGTACGACTCGACAGGACCTGAGTTTTGCAAACGAAGGTGCATATTGTTGTAATTTGTAACTATAATAGTTTTGATTTTCTACTTAACAAACACAACAACCAATGCATATTAGTAGAGCAGTGACTTTTCCAAGAATCTATAAGTTGAAATACCGCTTAACCTAAATGAATATTTCAAGTATTGTCCTGTATGTGTGTAATCTACTGGTCATTGATACTCAAGCAGCTTTATTTACAATCTCTAGTCAAAACGTCAATTCGGTAAAACTCTTCTACGGAGTGTTCTCTGCCTAACACAGAAAATTTCCTATCTAGAGTCTCCATATCAGTGTGATCTGAATATTTTGTGAAAACCTTGAATTTAAAACCCTTACGAAACGCCTCTGCGTCGTGATAACCCAACCAACTAGTATTCCTAACCCCTGAACCCAAACAAAGGCCAATTGAAGAAACACTTACGTATCTCCGTCCTCGTCTTGCGTGTAATAAAACATCGAAGGGATGTCCTTCAGGTCTGTCGATTGGGATTCAACAAGTGTCGGGCCTTTATCGGGAGAGTTCAGGTCGTTCTGCCCGCCGAGGCTGAGCTTGTAAAAACTGTCCGTCACTACCAATCCGCTATCGATGAGCATTTTTTCTTCGTTTTCCTGCTCTTCGGCGCTTCCCGTATCCTGATAGGAGCTGTTGGATTCCTTGAATTCCGTCTCGATGAGGCCGGAATCTGCGATTTCTCCGGACACGAAGCCGCTATCCGTCGAGCATTCGTACGCCTGGCATTTGTCTTCCTTTAGCGACTCCCCGGAAGCATCTGGAAATTTAGTGTGTTGCTTAGACATTTTCGATAAGGCACAGGTAACTCGATTCGAACACGAATTGAGGTTAGGGACGCGTGCACTGCGATTTATTTTGTCAAATGTTCGTTTCGTTTTCGATAATATCGCGCGAGATGTGTTCACTACACGGCTCGAGAATAAAGTTCGGAATGAGAGGACGGTGCGTTCTGTGTCGGTTGACACGAGTATGGGGATTCCCGAGACATGCGCACTGTCGCTCTAGCCAGTGACGTGCCTGTTTGGGTAGAGGCGGGCCCGTAGAGAGAAAATCGGAATTGCAGGCAGTCAGATTTGGAAGTTTAGGAAAGTTCTAGTCGTTGCAATGTGGTGAGTAAGGGGCGCCGACGTTTGCTGCGAATCATGAGAAATTAAATTACGTTTCAACTCCTTTTAAGGACTCGATAACGTACTTTGCACTAGAATTGAAGCTATGGAACGACAAATGACGGCTGAGTTAATAAAAAACGCTGTACATGGACCGTTCATGACGTAATTTAATTAAAGGAGGTGAATAACAAATCGCGGCGCAATTTCCACCAAAGTATCAACAACCCTAATCACTTATTGCTGTAACGAAAGCTTGCAACTCTCTTATTAGTAATGAGTTGTTACATTTCAGCAAGTTGACTGCTTTTTGAATTTTCTGTCATTTCGCCAAGTTATAGATGGTTTTCTAACATATGAATTTTGTATGTTCTTCAAATACTCAAGTTTCATCAGAGTTTATTAGGTTAGGTTAGGTCAGGTTAGGTGAGAAGTGATCCTTTACCGCAACCCGCAAGGGTTTATTGTGACACCTATTCAAACTCGACTAAATAAAACCAGCTTCTTGACGAAACCGCTTAGTTCATATGGCCAAGAATCCAGACCAGAGACAATTTTTTGAGTGTTTGTATTGAGGAGAGTCGTTTTTGGCAATTTGCTAGCAATTTAGACGTTTAGACTTGTGTGTGAGATTGATCTCCCTCACAGAATTCAATTGCATAGATTTCCGCTTGAAATACGGTCGCATAGATCCCTAGGCAGGTTGATAACTCTGTCCTGGGTCTACAACTGAAGACACCTGCACCTGTTAGGCTGGTGCCCTTGGTTTATTCTACGGTTGAAAACGTGAATTTGTGAATGAAATACATTGAAATTATCTATGTGATCGTTAGATAATTATAAAGAGACTTCGAAGTCGAAATTTCAAGTTTGGAGTCGACATTTCGAGATTAAAGTCGACATTTAGGGATTGAGGTCGAAAGTTCTAGATTAAACTCGGAATGTAGATATTAAAGTCGAAATTTCAAGATTCTAGTCGAAATTTCGAGTAAAAAGTCGAGATTAAGTTTGAAATCACGAGATCAACCTTGAAATTCCGACTTTAAAGTTGAAATCTTGAGATTACTCTCGAAATTATGCGTTAAACTTCGAATTTTAGAGTTTAAGGTGGAAAGTTTACGATTAAACTCGAAATGTCGATATTAAAGTCGAAATTTCAAGATTCTAGTCGTAATTTCGAGTTGAAAGTCAGAATTAATCTTTAAATCACGAGATCAACCTTGAAATTACAACTTTGAAGTTGAAATTTAAGGTTGAAAGTTGAAATTTTGAGATTACTTTCGAAATAATGAGATCAACTTCGAATTTTAGAGTTTAAAGTCGAAATTTCAAGTTTGGAATCGATATTTCGAGATTTAAGTCGACATTTAGAGATTAAGGTGGAAAGTTTAAGAATAAACTCGAAATGTCGATATTAAAGTCAAAATTTCAAGATTTAAGTCGAAATTTCTAGTTAAAAGTCGAGATTAATCTTGAAATCACGAGTTCAATCTTGAAATTTCGACTTTGAAATTGAAATTTCAAGTTGAAAGTTGGAATTTTAAGGTCGAAAGTTCAGAAATGAACTCGAATTATCGATATTAAAGTCGAAATTTCAAGTTGAAAATTGGAATTTTGAGATTACTCTCGAAATTATAAGATCAACCTTGAATTTTCGAGATCAAAGTCGAATTTTCGAAATTAAACTCGAAATGTTGAAATTAAAATCAAAATTTTGAGATTCCAGTCCAAATTTGGAGATTCAAATGTCGAAATGAAAGTAAAAACTTCGAGATTCAAGTCGAAATTTTGAGTTGAAAATCGAGATTAATCTAGAAATCATGAAATCAACCTTAAATTTCCAAGTTCACAGTAGAAATTTCAAGTTTAAAGTTGAAATTTCGAGATTAAATTTGAAATTTTGAAAAAAAAGTCGAGAATGACCTTGAAATAATAAGGTCAATCTTGAATTCTCGAGTTTAAAGTCGAAATTTTGAAATGAAAGTGTAAATTTTGAGGTGAAATTCGAAATGTCGAGATGAAAGTCGAAATTTCAAGATTCAAATCGAAATTTCGAGTTGAAAGTCGAGATTAATCACGAATCACGAGATCAACCTCAAATTTCCAAGTTTACAGTCGAAATTTAAAGTTAAAAGTTGGAATCTCGAGATTAAATTTGAAATTTTGATAAAAAAGTCGAGAATGACCTTGAAATAATGAGGTCAATCTTGAATTCTCGAGTTTAAAGTCGAAATTTTGAAATGAAAGTGAAAATTTTGAGGTTAAACTTGAAATGTCGAGATGAAAGTCGAAATTTCAAGATTAAAGTCGAAATTTCCAAGTTTACAGTCGAAATCTCAAGTTTAAAGTTAAAATCTCGAAATTAAATTTGGAATCCACGAGATCAACTTCAAATTTCCAAGTTTACAGTCGAAATCTCAAGTTCAAAGTTGAAATCTCGAAATTAAATTTTAAATTTCAAAAAAGAAGTCCAGAATGACCTTGAAATAATGAGGTCAACCTTGAATTCTCGAGTTTAAAGTCGAAATTTTGAAATTAAAGTCGAAATTTTCAGGTCAAACTTGAAATGTCGAGATGAAAGTCGAAATTTCAAGATTCAAGTCGAAATTTACAAGTTTACAGTCGAAATCTCAAGTTTAAAGTTGAAATCTCGAGATTGAATTTGCAATTTTGAAAAAAAAATCGAGAATAATCTGGAAATAATGAGATCAACCTTACATTGTCGAGTTTGAAGTCGAAATTTTGAAATTAAAGTCGAAATTTGGAGGTTAAACTTGAAATGTTGAGATGAAAGTCAAAATTTAGAGATTCAAGTCGAAATTTCGAGTTAAAAGTCGAGATTGATCTCGAAGTCATTACGAAGAAATTACGAGATTAAAGTAGGAATTTCCAAGAAACAACTAATAAAAAATATGGCCCGTCTGCGCTTTCTTATAATCTGCACTGCTCCGACCACGTGCAAAAAAACAATGTCGCCGCGGGTTTTTTATTTGTTATCCACAAATATTTGCGGGTCAAGGCAATCTCAAAAAAAGCGAATACAAACAGGCGTGGGGAAGGTTAAGGTTCTGTTTAAAGCAGGAAAATCGGTTTACTCATTTATCCGTTTCGAAAAAATTTCCCTGTGGGCGCCACCATAATTCCGTTGAACAGATAGGAAAAACCGCCTGTGCTGATTATAAAATGGAAGTACACATAGATTAACCGTGCCTTAGAAAACCGTACGAAATTACTCAGGTAAGAATCGCAATTAGCGAGGAGGAGCTTTTTCGGAAAAAATAAACAAAACAGCCACACAAATCTTGTTCAAATTTAAAGGGGTATGTTTTTAGAAGAGATTAGTTTTTGGGGAAAACAGTTTTGGATTTCTACTCCCTCCTGAAGATATGCCCTTTTCAATTTGAACAAATATATGCCAAAGTTTATATGAAAGTAGTTGTTACAAAAGGGGTTTCATACAGTTTGTGTCTGAGAGTAACTTCTTTGCATTATTTACATATCTCTGTAGAGTTTATTTTGTTGAATTCTTTTCCAAAAAGTTTATTTTTGTTGCGTTACTGAAGTTCTGTGTTCCATTTATCGTCGATCTCTACCGGAAAATACTGGAAATAGTTTGGAAGGAATATACTAATTTTCATAATTCAGAAAACACATCAATTATTTCCATAATTTCTTCTTTCACGTTAATGAATTCTGGAGACTGTAACTTTTTCAGTTCAATGAAATTATTAACAACTGAACTTGACAAAATATAACAACACTTAACCATAGTAATTTTTATAAAATACAAGGAGAGTCTGAAAGCTATAAATTTATTTTCGTCATTGATCTCCAACAGAAACCACGTTCAAAAACATTATAAAGTTATTCAAGTCATTGAATTTTGAATAGACTACTAGACGCGTGAAAGTGTGTATATATAGTTTTCAATTTGTCATTATGTTTATACTTGGATCAAATCATACTTGTCACCTCCACACACAGGGGAAACTCTCTTGGAATTCTACCGTATTTTATCATATATCGAGATTTCGAATTATTCTGTGCACTGAAATGAATATCAAATGAACTCAAAAATTCAACTTGAATTTCAAAAATTCGACTTTAATCTCGATATTTTGAGTTTAATTTCGAAATTTCGACTTTAATCTCAAAATTTCGACTTTGTTCTCCAGATTTCAAGGTTGATCTCATAATTTTGGGATAAATCTCGACTTTTTTTTTAATTTCGAATTTAATCTAAATATTTCAACTTTGAACTTGAAATTTTGACTGTAAACTCGGAAATTTGAGGTTGATCTCATAATTTCAAAATAAGTATCGAAATTTCGACTTCAAACTAGAAATTTTGAGGTTGATCTCATAATTTTCAGAATTATTTCAAAATTTCGACTCTCATCTTGAAATTTCTACTTTTAACTCAAAATTTTAAGGTTGATCTGATAATTTCGAGATTATTCTGTACTTTCAATTCAAAATTTTGACTTTTACCTTGAAATTTCCACTTTAAACTCGAAATTTTGAGGTTGATCTCAAAATTTTCAGAATTATTTCGAAATTTCGACTTTAAACTCGAAAATTTTAAGGTTTATCTTATAATTTCGAGATTATTCACTACTTTCAATTCAAAATTTCGACTTCTAACTTGAAATTTCCACTTTAAACTCAAAATTTCAAGGTTGATCTCAAAATCTCGAGATTATTTTCTACTTTCAATTAAAAATTTTGACTTTAAACTCGAATCTTGAGGTTGGTCTCATAATTTCGAGATTATTGTCTACTTTCAATTCAAAATTTCGACTTCTGACTTGAAATTTCCACTTTAAACTCAAAATTTCGACTTTC